TATCGAACAGTGGCATGTGGGATTTCTGTGTGTCTGATGGGGTTTAATGATGAGCTTCTAAGTATTTCTGTAGCCACAGTGATTTCTTTTAGAACAGTTTGAGAGAGACAGCCTCTAGGAACTCATAGGTTTTTATTTACAAGCGAACAAAGTACACAGTATTGTTCATTAAGCTTACTATTGGAAGAATCTGAACTTTGTTTTAAGCGTGGTGGGAAACACACAAAGCTGGGAAAGAACAATTTCAGTTTTCATTTTAGTTTGGGGAGTTATGCTGGATTCTTAGCTGAAGATGGATGTGCAAAGCATTTGCTTATGAGAAAGGGAGAAGATAGTTAAGAATTGTCAGAAAAATTACCTCAGAGTAAGGAGTTGAGTAATAGTTCCAGACCAGGAGTGTTTTGGTAAAATCTTGAAGAGGTTGTTTGAAGCTGAGAAGATTTAAGCTCAGATTATGAAGGCTTCAGGCAGAGGCTTTCAGATTCTCCAGACCAGGAGTTAAAGTCACCGATAAAGTACAGCCTATTGAGGTCATCAAGAAAGAGATTCTCTCCAATGTGAATATTATAAAGGGATGCTTTGGAATCTGTAATGGAATGATTTTGGTATTAATGGGATTATATTTGGATCAAAAACAAAGCTGCTGGAAAAGCTCAACAGGTCTGGCAGCATCTGTGGAGGAGAAAACAGAGTTAACGTTTTGGGTCCGGTGACCCTTCCTCAGAACCGGTCTCGGTCTCAGGTCACCGGACCTGAAATGTTAACTCTGTTTTTTCCTTCACAGATGCTGCCAGACCTGCTGAGCTTTTCCAGCAACTTTGTTTTTGTTCCTGATTTACAGCATCTGCAGTTCTTTTGGTTTATATTTGGATCATGTTTTTTAGAAATCTTTAAATGCAAGCTTTGCATCCATAATTTAGTCTATTCTATTCCATCTCCATTTATTTTGTGATATAAACTACTGTTTTATTGTTAAAACCAAATCCTCAAAATTGTGTGTTTATGCTTCTGTGTGAGATCGTCACATTAAAACCAAAAATCAAAATAAAAGTGATCTATCAAGCCAGAGTTTTATCTGGGATCTGACTTGAACAGTAATAACATGAGCTAGGATCATAACAGGAGGTAGAGAGCTGGAAAAAAGGAGAAGGAGAAAGAAAGAGAGAGGTGGGGAAGGAGAGGGAAGGGAGGAAGAGGGAAGGGAGGAAGAGGGAAGGGGGAAGGGAGGTAGAGGGAAG